AAAAGTGGCAGTCGAGCTGGATCGAGGGTTCTTACCCTGTGGTCTGGCATGACTTCGGAGGATCCAGGAACCCCTGAAATTGTGGAAGACCTTTCATGTCTCTGGGTGGAGGCTTTGAGTTTAAGAAGAGAGGATTTATAGGGTCCTTCTGACCGACAAGGGGTCGATGATGCTGGGGAGTCAGCAAAGTACTGGGGAGGGAATGGCATGTGTGGGCTCTGCCTAAGGTCAGGGCCCTGGCTTGGGTCTGAGGTCAGCAGAGGATCTGGGGAGCTGTGTAGGTCAGGCCCCACCTCAGGAGCCCAGATGAGGGAGGGGAGGAGACGAGTGTGGCCCACAGTCCCTTGTTTTTAGGCAACTTGGGCCATGGGGATGCATGTTCTCCCTTAGGGCACCTCGGGCGGGGGCTGCCTTGGGAAATGGAAATGGGGAACGGGGTGCAGCCCAGGATGTCTTAGATGGGATTTTGAAAAGCATGATGGCTGGTTACAGTGTCTGCTCTAGGGGCTTAGAGAGCGCGTGTAGATCTCAATCTCATTAAGTGCTGTCATTGTCATAGCAGCACCAACAGAGGGCCAGGCATTGTGGATTTTATATATATATATATTTTAAAGATTTTATTTATTTATTCATGAGAGACACACACAGAGAGAGGCAGAGACATAGGCAGAGGGAGAAAAAAAAAAAAAGAAGCAGAGGGAGAAGCAGGCTCCATGCAGGGAGCCTGATGTGGGACTCGATCCCGGGTCTCCAGGATCACACCCCAAGCTGAAGGTGGTGCTAAACTGCTGAGCCACCGGGCTGCCCCGATTTTATATTTTTATGAGCATCTCACTTGTCCCCCCTCACCCCAGAGCCCTGTGGCATCATCAGTGCTACCATTACCCCTTTTCACGGCTGAGGACCCCGAGATTAGAGAGGGAAGGGCCTCACAGCTGGCCGAGGAGCAGTGGTGGGAGAGGAGCAGGGTGTTAGGCACAGGAGCAGCCCGGTGGGTGCAGAGCGGGGAGTGGGGGGCATGTAGTGAGCATTCCCCAGTTCCTGCTTCATTTTTTGAAAGCCCTTCTCTGCACATCGCCACCTGTAGCTCAGGCACTGGGATCCGAGGTCTTTGTTCTCATCCAGGATAAGTTAGGATTCGAACGGGGCGAGTGGCAGAGTGTCACTGCGCACCATTACTTCCTCTCTCTGTTCTTTCTTTAACTCATTCGCATGAATGAGAACCTGGGCCTGGCCAGGCACTGGGGGAGGGGCTGGACCAGAAGAATGAACAAGGCCCTGGGTCTCTGCTCAGGGGGTATTGTAACTGGCCGGGTCCCAATCAGCGGGGCACCAGTGGGATTGTCACCAGGCTATGTGGCTGGCTCTCTGTAGCTCTCCCACTCCAGCCCCCTCCTGCGTGTGGTGTCTTAGGAATTTTACACAGGGGTGGGACGAATGTTGTGTCTTGTGATCACCCTGGTGGGTATAGGAGGACTTTGGAAGTATCTTAGGACTCTGGATACTTCATTGCCTGTTTTTTTTTTTCTTTAAAAAAAATGTTTATTTATTTGACAGAGAGAGAAAGAGAGCGTGCAAGCAGGGGAAGCAGCAGAGGGAGAGGGAGAAGCAGGCTCCCGCCGAGCAGGGAGCCCAGTGTGGAGCTCGATACCAGGACCCCGGGTGTATGACCTGAGCTGAAGGCTTAACACGCAGGTGCCCCCATAGCGTGTGGTTTTCCCCAGCTCACTCACTGCATGTTTGTTCAGTGAACCCCAGGAATCCCCCTTGGTCCGTGCAGGCCTTGGTCTTTGCAAGACTTTCTTACATCTTGCCTTCTCTTAGTTTCAATTTAAATGTCTCTTGGGAGTGATTTTCTTTCTGTCCTCATTGCAGACCCTCGGGGACCTGCTTCAGTTGGCAAATAAACTCTCTCTCCTCCTAAACATCCATCCTTTCCTCCCAGATGCCCTCCTACATATTGTCATTATGGTGAAAAATATGCAAATAACTTTGAAAAACAGTCTCCCAGCAAATGGGTATTCAAAAATGTAATAAATTAACCCCATAATGTAATCTGGGTCCCAAGACTATCCATCATGCTGATGTGCTTAAGATCTAGAAACCCAGATGCCGCAGAGCCCGGTGGATAGAAATGACAGATGAGTGTTCACAGAGCTCCCTCACGGCCCCCCGCCCCCAGCTTCTTGGCCCCGTGGAACCCAAGGCCGTCAGAGGTTTAGGGAACATCTGTCCAGCCTGTTCATTCACAAACGAGGAGACAGAGGCCTTTCTGGGACTACGGGGGCAGACCGGTTTGAACCTGTCCTCCTGTGTCCCAGCCCGCCTTCCTCTGTTAATGGCTGGCTTTGGATCCAAAGCTGCAAACGTTGGCATTTCGTCCATGGGTTTCTAGTTGACAAGGCAGGTGCCCCAGTGTCAAACAAAGCCTGTTGGGACCTCACTTTCTGCATCTGAACAATGTTGAGCGTTGGGTTGTGTGTCCACCAAGGTTTCTTTGAGGTGCTTTAGCTCTGGGGTCAGGAAACCTACAGGTGGCTTGCGCTGTGTCTTCTTGGGGGAGCGGGCTAAGGCTGGGGGCCTGGCATGAGTCCCGATGTTGCTCACACTGTACCCTAGGGGCCACCAGCCGGACTCTGAGCTTCCCACCCCAGGATCCAATCCTAAGAAACCCTTTACAAGGAATTATTCCCCCCCCCGCCCCCATGACTGCCACTTCCTGTTGACAGTGAAAAAAGTTGCTTGAACAGCCTCCAGAGAGGGGCAGGGAGGACCCTTGCTTTCTCCAGTGCCCAAGTATCCACAGTGATTAAATCTCAGGGAGCCAGAGGACACTGTAGACAAGCCAGTGAGCTGCTCAACTGGCTCTGTGTGGAAATGGTCTTCTCCTACCAATGGCATGGCATGGGCAGGGTCCCCAAGTCCTGAGAAGGGTTGTTGTGTCCAAAATGTGTTGCCAGGTGCATCAGTTCTTGAAATAAATCATCTATCCCTCTGGGGTAAGCATGGAACGGCCCGAACTGCTGGGGCAGTCCCCATATGTTTTTGGGCATTGGGGCCCCTCAGGAACTTGTTAGAAGGCCAACACCCCACTTTGCACCCAGAGTGATCCAGTAGGTCAGAGAGGCCTGGGTTCCAGGTGTTTAATGAGTTCCCCGGGGATTCTCATGCAGATTTCTGAGGACTGCTCTTGAGAAGTGGTTTGCTGGTATTCCTGGCTTAACGGGCAGAGTCACTTACCCTCTCCCCTGCCTTTGCCCCATCAGAAGTTGGCAAATGCAAGTTTGAAGACGTCCCAGTGTAAAGGGGGTACAGTTCTCTAATCCTGAGCTATAACTAAGCAACATCCTGGCGAGATCTGTGTGCCCACAGGTGGATGTGACTCCTAACAAGTTCTTTCTTTTTTTTTTTTTTAGATTTATTTATTTATACATGAGAGAGAGAGAAAGAGAGAGAGAGGCAGAGACACAGGCAGAGGGAGAAGCAGGCCCCTTACCAGGAGCCCGATGCGGGACTCGACCGCGGATCCCAGGGTCACGACCTGAGCCGAAGGCAGGCGCTGAACCGCAGAGGTACCCCGGGTGCCCCTTAACAAGCTCTTATGTCCCTGGAGGTCAGGGTCAAGGTCCCCAGGCTTCTGGTCGTGATTTGCTGCCTGTAGCTCCGCGGCAACCTCTCTGACTTCAGTTTTCCCACCTGTAGTATAACGGCGGCTGAAAAGGAGTTGAAGCCCCGGCGTCAGATTAGAAGTCAGCACTGGGTTCATATTCCAACCGTGTGGTTTTGGCAAATGAGGGGGATGGCTCTGAGCCTGTTTGCCAACGGGTTAAGGAGGGAATCAAAGAAATCACTGCTGGGTAGTAAATGTCCGATCTATGCCAGTGATGATCTTTTTTTTTTTTTTTCAACTCTCTACTACGTCTCTTTATTCCAATTCCGAAACAGAGATAGATTTTGTTTTTATCTTGGATTTTGTTATCATCCCCAAGGATGTCTTACTATTTCTACTACACGTGCAGTATCATGAACTATATAACATTGTTTTACATGTCCTTAAACTTTCTGTAAGTGGATCATTCTGTTTGCATCATTTTACAACTTGACTTTTTTATATCCATTATCATGTTTTAGGGACTTATCTATGTTTATTTTTTGCCAGTGATGATCTTAATGCTATAGGGTTATTACGCCCCAGGGGCCCCCCAGCCCTTGCAGAGTCCGCGTCCCCCGGGGCTGCACTGGTCAGCGGTGGCCGAGGCCGACCCCGCGCACCGCCTCGGGCAGCCTACTTCCCCCTTCGGGACGTCGTTCGCTCGCCTGTAAAGCGGGGACAAGCCTAGTAGTCGCCCCGCGGGACTGTGCCGAGGCCGCACCCGGCCCGCGGCCTGGCACACGCCTGGCGCCCTCGGAAGGGCGGTAACCCCGGCGGCACCTAGTTCCCGGCGGGGGCGGGGCCGGCGGATGCGCTTTCGGTTGGGCAGCTGAGGCCGGGAGGGGGACCCCGGAGCCGGCAGTGGGGGTCGCTGTGCTCACCCGGGGGCGCCCGCACCTGGGCCCCGCCAGCAGCGCCCGCCCGCCCCTCGCAGCGCGGAGACCGCCCCGGGGCACATGCGCAGCGCGGCCCGCGCAGGTGTCCTGCCTCGCGCGCCCGGGGGGGGGGGGGGGCGCGGGCGGCGGGCGGCCGCGGCCTTCTCCCGCGCGGGGACCCTGCGCCCCGCCCCCCGCGCAGGCCCCGCCCCCGCCCCGGGCCCCGCCCCCGCCGCCCGGCCGCCCCCGCGGTTGGCTGGCGGCGGAGTGGGCGTGGCCGAGGCGGGCTCTAGGACCCGCCGGAGCCCCGCGGACGTCACCGAGCGGCGTCCGGGCCGCGGGTTGAGCGGGAGGCGCGAGTGTCCGGCCGGGGGCTCCCCGCGCGGGGCCGGGCCAGGCGTCCCCGGGGCCGCAGCCGGTACGCGGGCGGGGGAGCGGGCGGGCCGCCGTGCGGGGCCTTCCGGCCGGCGGGTCCGCCTCGCGCTCGCGGGCCTGCGCAGCCCGCCGGGCCCCCGGGGCCGAGCCCTCCCGCGAGCGCAGCTCCGGCCTTGCCCACCGGCGCGGGGGGCGCAGCCGCTGGCCTCGACCGGGGCGCCGAGCGCCCGAGCGCCCCGGCGGAGGCGGCGGCCCCGCGGCTGCCCGGACCGTGGCACTAGCCCCGCTCCCGCCCCCCCCAGGCGGCGGTCAGGATGACCACGCTCACGCGCCAGGACCTCAACTTCGGTCAAGGTAGGGAGGCGGGGCCTGCGGGGCGGGGGCGGGGCCTGAGGGCGGGGGCGGGGCCTGCGGCGATGGGGCGGGGCCTGAGGGCGGGGGCGGGGCCTGCGGCGATGGGGCGGGGCCTGCGGCGATGGGGCGGGGCCTGCGGCGATGGGGCGGGGCCTGCGGGAGGGCCCGGGCCGGGCCGGGGGCTCCCCGAGCTCTCCCGCTTCTGTGCCCCCCAGTGGTGGCCGACGTGCTCTGCGAGTTCCTGGAGGTGGCCGTGCACCTCATCCTCTACGTGCGCGAGGTCTACCCCGTGGGCATCTTCCAGAAGCGTAAGAAGTACAACGTGCCGGTGCAGGTGAGCCTCCACGCCGCGGCCTGGGCCACCGGGTCACCCCCGAACCCCAAAGTGGGTAGAGGGTGGATGGTGAACCCTCCTCCCACTCCCCAGCGGCCTGGCGTTGCCTTCCAGTTCCCAGCCCGACGGCCTCCTGCCCTCCTGCCTGGACTTTTCTTTCCATCCCTGGACCTGGGAGTTCCCCTTGCCCCAGTTAGGGACCAGGCCCTGGGGTCAGACTTGCCCCTGGGGCATGGTCGAAGTTTGAAAGGGCTCCTGAGGTTGGTGAATGGTTCCTCTATAAACCGCAGGGACCTTCTCTCTACCTTCGATGGTAGGGGTGGTTTTAGGTTAAAAGGCAGACAAAGCAGTAACATGTGCTCCCTCCCCCCGCACCCCCCCCCACTCTCTAGAAGTGCCGGCCCCTTAGGCTCTAAGTAAACATTAGAGTAATTCAGTGGCCCCGCTGCTGGGAGGTGGTGGGAGCTTGAAGGGTATTCAGGGAAAGGAAAAAGGAATAGCATTTACGAGCGCCTTGTGTCCTGGGACCTTATCTCACTCGCTTTGTCTCGACAAGATCTTCCACAGATGAAGTAAGTCAAGCTCAGAGAGGTTAAGAGATTTGCCTGAGAACACATAGCTCTTAGTTTCAGCACGCAACTTTTGAAAATTGATTTAACTTCTGGGTCCCTTCTCTGGGAGAAACGCCTGCATGCCCAAATACACACAACTCAGGGACTTCGGCCTCTGGAGGAGCCCACGGAGCCCACATTAGAAACGCCCACCGCTATATTAAGTGCTAATGTTGAACTAAATTCTTGTCTTCTAACTTCTCCCTCTCCCTGGATCATTCGCAGTTCTTTAGCTCCATGATGGGAAGTCAGGGTCTTGGGCGGGGAGCCCCAGGGAGCTGCTGGCCTCTCCCCCTGGGCTCCCGGAGGGGTGGCAGGGGGCTTCCCCGTTGGTGCCTCGGGCCTCACCAGCCGTCTTGGGGTTGTGTGCAGATGTCCTGCCACCCGGAGCTGAACCAGTATATCCAGGACACCCTGCACTGTGTCAAGCCCCTCCTGGAGAAGGTGAGGGCACCAAGTCCCCCAGCCTCCCTGCCCCCAGTCTGCTCCTCCTGCGCTGCAGGACGCGGTGATGCTGGGACCGTGCGGAGTCCCCATGCTCCGCACCCAAAAGCCTGTTTCCTGTACCCTGGAGACCAGCCTTGCCCAGGGACAGACCCCAGGGCAGGGGGGCCCTGGTTCCTGGAGTTGGCCAAGTGGCACTTGCCCCGGAGGGTTCTGGATTTTTCCCACATCTCTTTCTCTCCCTGCCCTCCAGTTCTGCTAGGCTTGTTCCCTCAGGGTTTCCTCCTTGTCTTGTCCTGCCCCTAAGAGGTACCCCCATGGGGCCCAGGCATCCCCTCCCCTCTTAGTCTGTACCCGGCAGGGGTGCCTACCTGAACTTCTCAGGGGCCCTCAGCCTAGAAGCCGAGCGGCGCTGTGAGTGTGCCCTCCCATCCTTCCTGGGCAGGGTGGTGGTGGCGGTGGGTGGGCTACCCCGTTCTGGAGTAGGGGGTTCCTGCCCTTGCAGAATGATGTGGAGAAAGTGGTGGTGGTAATTTTGGACAAAGAGCACCGCCCGGTGGAGAAATTCGTCTTTGAAATCACCCAGCCTCCACTGCTGTCCATCAGGTGAGCGGCCTCTCCCTGGGGTCCTGGCTGGCTGCTGGGAGGCCCTGACACAGCCCTGGCGCTCACCCCGTGAGGGTGGCGTCCTCAGGTTCCTACTGGGCTGCCCCACGCCTCTTTTCCTTCCTGCCTCTTAGGGCCCCTCTGAAAGCCCACCTCCTCCGGGAAGCCGGGTAAAGAGGAGAGTGACGAGGCAGGCCATCCTCACAGGGCCTGTTAGGGCCGAGCCACGGCCGGCCGCCCGGTGGTCTCCATGTAACCCGAGATGTCCACACTGGGAATTCATAGTATCGCTGACTGGCTGGTCCTGGCCAGGGTCCCCCAGCAGGTGGCACAGCCAGGACACAGACCCAGTTTCCTGACTTCCCAGTCACACGTCCAGCCCACAGTCAACCCGAAGCTGACCCTGGGCCCTGTGTCAGCGGGTCAGCGGCTGGCTTCCCGGGGTGAGGTCAGGGCACCGGAATCGCCCGCTTGCTGTGTGGCCTCAGGCAAGCCCCTCCTCTCCCTGGCCCTTTCCAGACTTCCTGGGGTGTGCGGAGCCTTGGGCTGCGGCCTGGTTGTCAGGCTGGGCTCCCTGTGGCCCGGTCTCCAGGTGATTTTACGTGTTGCAGACAAGGGAGGTAGCCGGGCCCCCAGGAGCGCACGCACTCAGACGCAGAGGGGGCTCTGCCCCCAGGGCCGATTGCCTGCTGGTGAGCAGGGTGCCGCTGTGATGGGAGACCCTCCTTTTTCCCTCCAGCTCAGATTCCCTGCTGTCTCACGTGGAGCAGCTGCTCCGAGCCTTCATCCTGAAGATCAGCGTCTGTGATGCGGTCCTGGACCACAACCCCCCAGGTGCGCTCCCCCCCTCCTCGTCCCAGGCGTTTCCGTGGCTCCTGTGGCTTGGTCTGCATTCAGGTCCCTGCTCGGCCGCAGCAAGCCGCCTCTCTTCCTTCCTGCCTTTTAGAACCTCTGGAAGCCCACCTCCTCCAGGAAGCTACCCTGACTCCTCCCTGGGTTCAGTCTCCCAGCTGACTGTGCTGCCTGGCCCTCGGCTCACAGTCTTCCCCTCTGGGCACTGCCAAGCCAGCTCGGGAGGGGGGAGCCCTGACCGGCGGCAGGCAGGAAGTGGCCCAGCCTTGACCAAACTCTTGCCTCTTCAGGCTGTACCTTCACAGTCTTAGTGCACACGAGAGAGGCTGCCACTCGCAACATGGAGAAGATTCAGGTCATCAAGGTGAGATGAGGGGTCTGGGAAGGCGGGCAGGAGACAGCTGGCGGGCTCTGGAATCCAGGGGCCCGAGCTCGGAGTGGGCGGGGATGTTGCCGCCGTTAGGGCAGCGCCTGGCATCCAGCGGGTTTAGCTGTGTTAACCGGGTGGCCACAGGCTCGCCGTGCCCCGCCTCGGCCCTCAGCAGAGGGGGTGGCGCCCTGCCTGCGGCAGCCAGCCCAGCGCAGCTCTCAAGAGGCGGGGGGCTCTGCCCACCAGTTTCGCAGCCGGTGCTGGGGGCTTGTTAAACCACTCGGGTTCCCAGCCCAGCTCGGACCCGAGACCCGGCCTCGCCAGTGGAGGACCCGGCAGTCCGCAGAGCTGGGACCTCCCCAGTGATTCTGCGGCTCCCTGCAGCCTGAGGACCCCAGCTCTGGGCGGGGGGCAGCAGCGTGAGCGCAGGCCGCTCCCGGCCTAGCCCCGTCCACCTCCCGACCTTGGTCCCCTCCCTAGGACTTTCCCTGGATCCTGGCAGATGAGCAGGACGTCCACATGCATGACCCCCGGCTGATACCACTGAAAACCATGACGTCCGACATTTTAAAGGTGAGCCGAACCGCAGGTGTGCCGAGGCCTTGCCGGAGGCCTGTGGCTCGAGGCTTGGAGATGACCAGGGAATGCCCGGGCTAAGGCTCCAAACCCCACAGCCGCGGGCGGAGCTGCGTGCCAGGGGCCAGGGGGTGCCGGCCGTCCGCCTGACCCCGGCTCTTTACTCCTGTCCCCTAGATGCAGCTCTACGTGGAAGAGCGAGCTCATAAAAGCAGCTGAGGGTGTGAGTGGCCCTGGCAGGGATGCTGCAACGGCTGGACGTCGGCCGGGGCCCCGGCCTAGGGCAGGGCTGCGGGGCCACCCTGGTTTCAAGTGCTCTTACTGCCTCGGGGTATGGACCGGCCCCCCTCCAGCGCGGCGGACTCAGGTCCGGCTGCCTTCGTGGACGAATTCGCCCCAGGAGGGCAGGGACGGTGCTCGGACCTGGATTCCTTATCTTAGCTCCTGCGGTCTGGCCGGTCAACACGGTCTGTCTCAAATACTGTGCTGTGAGCGGTTTCAATAAAGGGCGCCAAGGGCCGAGCTGGGCTGTCCCCAACCGGAGCGGGGAGCGCAGGAGCAGCCGCTGGCGGGGGGGAGGGGCTGCTTCGCCCCCGCAGTGCCAGGGCCTCCCCAGGGCCTCCCGCCACCAGACCCAACCCCACGCTGGTCTTACTGAAAACGTTTATTGTCCCAAAATGTCAGAGTACGTGACGGAGTTACCGCCAACTGGTGGGTTTGCCCCAGGCTGGAAGTGGGGCAGCAGCTCCCCAGCAGGGCCTCGCGCCCAGCGCAGCCTCAGCGGAGGGCACTGCTGCAGGTGGTTTGGTCCAGACACAGGATGGAGGAGTGGCCAGCAGACACGGTCAGTGGAGATGAAGCGAGGAGGGCAAGCGGGCAGCACTCTCCCGGCCCTGTGTGTGCTCGGGCTGAGCGGGGGACTGGGCCGGGTCCCCGGTCACTTTAGGGCCGATGACGATGCTGCTGTTGGTGACGCGGGGCCCGTACCAGCCCGCCCAGAACTGCGTGTCCTGGCCTCCGTGCTGGAAGAGGATGTGGCGGACGCCGGGGGGGTAATCGGAGAAAGTGTGGGAGACCTGGCAGGAGGGCAGGGGAAGAAGTGATCGTCAGGGCTGGGGAGGGGACAGGTGGGGGCGACAGCTCCAGTGGGGAGGAGCAGGGAGGCCGGGAGGCAGGGGCTCCAGGCCCCGGTTTCCTGCCGTCCTGGCCCCGGAGAAGCGGGTGGTGAGGGGCAAGCAGGTGAGGCCTCACCTCCGTCCACTTGGCGCTGTTCCACTGATCGATGGTCACAGGCGGGGGCTCGAAGGAGGCCAGGACGATGTAGTCGGCGGAGGCCAGCTGCACTCGGATGTGATAGGTACAGCCACAGTCGGCTCTGGCCGCGAACCTGAGGGAAGGGGGGGCTCAGGACTGCGCGCCCCAGACGGGAGGCGGCCCTGGAGGCAGGCCGCTCACCCACAAACTGGAGCCCTGAGGCGGACCGTCCTGCCCTGCCCGAGGCCCAGCTGACTTCCCAGCTCTCCGGGCCCTCCTGTGTCCCTGGCGTAAGCAGTGTGCGGGGCCGCGTCGGGGCCGAGTGGCAACTCCTTTGGGTGTCCAGTGAAGACGTCCCCTTAACAAAGCAAAAGGCTCTCCACAGAGATAAAGGCCTGGGCGGTGGGAGCTGTGTCCCTGGACCTTGTACTGGATCAGACTGGGGATTCCGTGGGAGATTCTAGGGGTGGCCTGTGTGATGGGGCTGGTACAGGGCCCACCTTGTGCTCAGCCCCGCTGTCCACAGCTCTGCGCACTCCTCAAACCCCACCCCCTGCCTTAGAAGGGTGGCCCTGGGGCCCCACGGGGATTGGGGTCCCGCTTCTGCTGTGGGCCACGCCAGAACCTTGTACAGCTCTGGGCACAGAGCAGGAGCCTGGGAAGGAGCAGAGGGCTGCACAGAGAAGGGGCAGGGGAGGCAGGCGCAGAAGGCCTGTGAGCAAGGTCCAGGGTGGCTGGGTCCGGTGTCTCTGGTGCTCTAGCATCAATTTGTGACAATTTATCTGTAGGCCTCAGTCTCCCCATCTATAAACTGGAATTAACACGTGCTGATGCAGGGTGCAGGAAGGCCAGGAGGTGTGAGCGGGCCGAGGGCTGGCTGGCGGCAGGGGCATGTGGATGCAGGGCCAGGTGGGCCAGCCGCTGGGGCAGCCCCACCCTAGGACTTGGCTGGGCAGAGTGGGTGCAGCCTGTCGGTGCTCCCGGGAAGATGAGGGGACGATGCAGAGCGTGGCCGGCCCCACTCACCAGTCCTTAACCACGATTTCAGGCCGGACCGTGTCCAGCAGCTCCTCCCAGTAGCCCTCGGCCTTGAGGTCCACCAGCTGGGACTTGAGGCACATCCTGTGGAGCAAAAGGAAAGGCTTACGCTCCCAGGTGCACTTTGCATGGCTGGACCCAGCACTGTCCCCTGACTCTGCAGGACTGCTGCCCCTGGCTGGTGCTGGCCTACGGGAAACACGCACTTGTGTGGCGGCCTGTGGTCTAGTTCCATGAACTCATGTTCCTGGAGGAGGAACCCGCAGACCCGACTTGCCCTAATCACCCAGGGGCTCTCGGCCCTTATTCTTCACCCCCCACTGCTATTAATCTTGGCCACGGAGTTCTCCTGCTCTAAGAAGCGAGAGACTCTGAGCCCGTCCGGGAACCACCTTCCACCTTCCTCGAGCTGCACAGACAGGCCCTCACTCTGGCCTGAGATTTGACAAAAGTCCCAACCCTCTTCCCCTCAACACAGCAGCCCGGTGGTTTATCTTACTCATAAGATGTGACAAAGTACTTCTTGACTTTGGAGTCAGGAAAATCTGTCCCGTGGTCTCCAGGGAGGCTCTCCACCTTCCATTCGTCTCCCCCATTGCAGTCAATTTGCCAGGACTTCATATCCTCTAGGGAAAAGCAGAAGCCGAGGTCAGAGCCCCGTGTAAAGATGCGACCGGGTCCTTCCCGCCTGGGCTGGGCTTGCTCAGGCTCACATCTCAAGGCGTGTACCCCAGCTGGGCCTCGGGGCGCCCGACAGAGTGCCCTTCCTCCCAACACGTTTCCACCTGTGCCGCCAAGTCACGTGTGGTCTGGGGCTTCCTCCCTCCCACCCTGTCTGTGACTGGCCTGACTCCTAGCATGAAGCTGGGGTGGGGGTGGGGGAGCACTACCAAAAGGCTAAACTAGCATTTCCTTCCTTTTAAGTTGCTGAGGGGCTCCGGGAAACACCGAAGTTTCAGTTCTCAAAACGCAGTTATGAGGGGCCGGTGATGACCCTTCTGCTTGTCCCAGTGCAAACCACTCACTTGACTGCCATCTCCCCCGACACCCTAACTCTAGCTGAGATCTGAAGGGGCCCAAAGACTGATTCACCGGCTTGCCGTTGGGTCACGGGGACCCCCTCTGCCCAGCGCGGGAGGGCTAACCGACAGTGGGCATCCTGGGCTGGCGGCTCACAGTAACCCCGTATTCTCACTGGGCTGGCCTGGCAGGTCCCGTCTCCCCCTTCAGGCTGAGACAGGAGGACCTTAAAAAAACGCAGCAGTGTTTCTCTACCCCGGCTTTCCAGAACAATCGCCAAGGGAGCTTTTCCCAATTGGTCCTGTGCTCTACTAGGAGCCCGCACCCACTCCCCAGGTGCCCCGCGGCCTGCTGCCAGTAGAGAACAAGAGGAGTGACCCAGAAATCCAGGAGTGGGGCTGTGCCGAGCAGAGGCGAAGGAGAGACCTAAGCTAGACAGCTGCCAGCCCAAGCCCAGCGTGATCAGGGCTGCAGACGGGCTCTGGGGAGCTGTGAGCTGAGCTGGCGGCCCGGCGGGGCAGCTTCTGAGTGGGATCTGGGCCAGGCAGAGAGACGGAGCGTGTGAGCCACGGTCTCTGGGGCCTCCGAGGGGCCCGAGCGCCTGCATCAGGACCAGGCCCTGGCAACTGGCCGGTTCTGGATCTTTGGGAGGGATGCTCATCCGGGGTCCCCATCTATAAAATGGAGCCAACCCTACTTATTTGGCCAACTCCTGGGGTCCTCGTGAGGATCAGGAGAGAAAATCGACAGGAGAGGGATTCTCAGTGTACACACTGTGCCTGCACTGATTGTTGCTGAAGCCCCAACATGAAGTTTGGTGCCTGGTGTATAGTAGGTGCTCAATGAAAGGAAAAAAAAAAAAAACCCTGGCAAGTACAAGAGAACATTAAAAGCTAAACGAAGGCTTCAAATGATGTGCATGCAGTCACATCTGGAATTCCTCATTTCCTTCCTCTGGGTCACGGGGACAGTAGGAGGGAATGACCTTTGTGAAGCCCGCAGCCACTGTGGCCAGGGCAGCCAGTGAAGTCCAGGACCTGGCACGGGGGAAGCCCTCCACGCACGTCAGGAAGCTTGGACCACGCTGGAGGGGGGGGGGGGAGGTGAACGAGCAGTTGGTTCGTTCATTCCACAAACATTTTTCGAGCACGGGCTATGTGAAGGCATCACTGGGGACACCGGGCAGAGTGGCGAGCAAGACCTGTTAGGCCCCTGGACCTTGGGGCTTGTGGCAAAGAAACAGCCCCGCCACCCCGAGCCAGAGCATGGGCTCGCAGGTTCTGACAGTGCCGTAGAGGTCCTGAGCAGAGCGGACGGGACAGAGGCGCGGGTGCAGGGTGCTGAGGCGGGGGACCGGGGCGGGCGTCTGACCCGAGGGCATTTGGTAGGTGCTAGGGGTGTGCGAGAACACCCCAGATAGTGTGGGAACCCCAGGGGCGGAGGCCCTGAGCTTCAGGAAAGGGAGGGAAGCAGCCCCGGGCGGCCCCCAGCCCACCTTCAGCACACGGGTTGCGCAGCAGGTTCCGGCGGAGACTGCACAGAAAGAAGAAGATCTTCCAGTCGGCCACAGGCTGGTCCCAGTCCTCGGTGATGAAGCCCTCCCGCAGGCACTTGCGCTTCCAGAGGGTCACCAGGTCGATGAGGTCCCGCCAGAGGCTGCAGACCGGGCGGCAGCGCAGCAGCAGCTGGCGGGCGGGGATGTGCGTGAACACCTCCAGCAGGATGCTCTCGGGCAGCTCGTTGATGCCGACCAGGGCCATGGCGGGGGCGGGCGGGGCGCACACAGGCCTGTGGGGGCAACTGGTTATGACCCCCACTCGGGACCTGGGACGCAGGACCCAGGGGCTCCTCATCCTCTTCTGCTTTGTGAAACCAAAAGGGTTTGAGCACCTTTCCAGGACTTAGTAGGCTGCAAAAATGTGGAGTGGTCACCGTTACGTGCATTTGAAAACATGTGATAAACATTAAGAAGAACTTTAGGGGCTAATATTTAAAGAGGCCTCTCCTAGTAAAAAAAAGATTGCTAAATTTTAAGTTGTTGGGCCCAGTGAGCTGGCACACCTGGCCACCGTTTTGTCGTCTGCAGCCCCTGCAGGAGGTCGCGGTGACGTTCTTTTAGTGCTGGCAGCTCAGCCTTAGTCTGGGGATGTAATAATGGCTTTACGGTGTAGGTCACAGCTTCCCTGAGGGGTGGGGCTAGTGCTGGCAACCGCAGTCCTCTCCCAGGTCGCGCACTTTGGCCTGGAAGCCCGATGTGATGAAACTCCCTCGTGGGGAGCACCTCCGCCTCCGTCCCGGCTCGGGCATCAGGCCAGGGCCCACTCCTAAGTGCTCAGACACTGCACAACAGATTGAGGGACCCCGAGCGAGGCTGCCCGGGGTTGGACCCCCGGCCTGCGTGGCTAGCGGGGCGACAGAGGCCAGGCCCTCCCAGCCTCCGCAGGGCCCGGAGGACGGAGCCAGTGCAGGCGCAGCTCTCCGCCCAGGGCCAGCGGAGCGGGGAAGTGCTGCAGAGCGTCAGGACTTGGGCTTCCCTCCCAGCAGCTGTGGCCGCCTGCCACCAAGACCACCGGGTTTTGGAGATTCCCACAGTGCCAGCAGCGCGGCGGAGCCCTGCCCGGGGGGAGCCCTGCCCGGCGGAGCCCTGCCCGGGGGAGCCCTGTCCGGGGGGAGCCCTGCCCGGCGGAGCCCTGCCCGGGGGAGCCCTGCCCGGCGGAGCCCTGCCCGGGGGAGCCCTGTCCGGGGGGAGCCCTGCCCGGCGGAGCCCTGCCCGGGGGAGCCCTGTCCGGGGGAGCCCTGCCCGGCGGAGCCCTGCCCGGGGGAGCCCTGCCCGGTGGAGCCCTGCCCGGGGGAGCCCTGCCCGGGGGAGCCCTGCCCGGCGGAGCCCTGCCCGGGGGAGCCCTGTCCGGGGGAGCCCTGCCCGGCGGAGCCCTGCCCGGGGGAGCCCTGCCCGGTGGAGCCCTGCCCGGCGGAGCCCTGCCCGGCGGAGCCCTGCCCGGTGGAGCCCTGCCCGGGGGAGCCCTGCCGGGCTAGCCAGGTCACTGAGGGCCCCGGTGGGGGGGGCAGCCCCGTCCCTCACATGGGCCCTGTCGGCTCCGCACCGGCTCCAGGACACTTCTCGCGTCGCACGGAGCCTCGGCCAAGGCTCGCAGGGCTCTGGAAGCCTCGGGCCAGGCGCGCCTCCCCGACACGCCCCGACACGGCCCCGGCAGCAGTGCTGATGCGAAGGGTCCGAGGGGCCGGGGCTCCTGCGTTCTCAGGAGGAACCGGAGCCACCTGCAGGGTCCGGGCCGCCAGGTGTGCAGCGCGGCGCCTCCCGACAGACCCCGGGGCCCCGTCGCTGGGCGGGGCAGAGGCGACCGGGAGGACCGGCCCCGCCCCGCCCCCCGCGCCCGGTCCCGCGCGCACCTGGTCACCCACAGGCGCTCCCCTGCCCTCCGCCGCTCGGGGGTCGCGGCGGGGCCCGATGCGCGGGGCGGCCGGGGCGAGGCGGGCCGGGGCTGCCCGTGTGCGGCCCGAGGCCCCGCGGGCACCGTTCCCGCGCCCACGTCTCAGTTCCGGGCTGTGTGCGGCCGGAGCGCGCGCTGCGCCCATTGCTCAAACGCGGAAGCTGAGGCTCGGGGAAGCGCGGTGCCGCCCAGGGCCCGCGGGCGTCGGTGCCCGGAGGTCCGGACCCGCCCGGCCGGCGCCCCCCCGCCCCCCCGCGAGGTGCGGCCCGCGTCGCTCCCCGGCCGCGCTTCCCCGAGCCGGGGCCAGAGCCCGGCCCCGCGCGCCCCGGCCCGGACGGCCCCGCCCCGCCCCGCCCCGCCCCGCCCCGGCCGCCGCCGCCGCCGCCGCCGCCCCGGAGTCCCCGCCCCGCCCCGCCGCCCCGGGGCCGCGCCCCGCCCGTTCCCCGCTGGGCCGCCACCTGGACGCGGGCTCCGCGCCCCACCGGACCGGAGCTCGGGGTCGGCCTGGGGCCTGCGGCCTCCGCTGCGCTGCCGGCTGTCGGGCCCCGCCCCGCGTCACGCGCCGCGCTCCGGCCCCGCCCCCGCCTCCCGGCCCCGCCCCCGCCTCCCGGCCCGCCCCGGGCCCGCTCGCCCGCCCCCGCCCCCGGCTCGCCCCGCCCCCGCCTCCCGGCCCGCTCGCCCCGCCCCCGCCTCCCGGCCCCGCCCCCGGGCCCGCTCGCCCCGCCCCGGAAGCCAGCGACTCCCGCCGCCGCCGCCGCGGGGACCCCGTAGCCTGAGCCTGTCTCGCCTGCAGGGCCCCGCCTCCCTCGGGGGCTTCCCAGCCTTCTCCTCGCCGAGCCTCCACCCCTGCGCAGCCCTCTCGGGACTCTTCACCAGTTCCTTCGCTGTGGGGAGGCGTGCGGGCCTCCCGTCCTCCCACCCCCCCTCCCCTCCCGTCCTAAACCCCCGCAGCTCCCCTCCCCTCCCACCCCCTACCCCTCCCATGCCCCCCATCCTCCCACCTCTCCCCTCCCTTCCCAGCCCCCCACCTCTCCTGGCTCTTCCTAACCCCCCATCACTCCCCACCTCCCCCCCCTCCACCCCACGGAGATTTCTGAAACTCTGGACTGGATCCTGGCTTTTACCTTCATGAGGGCATGACCTCAGGTAGGGCTCAGTTTACTCAAAGGTGAAAACTTCTTTGCGTTTTTTAATTTTATTTATTTTTTTTTTTAGATTTTTATTTATCTATGATAGTCACACAGAGAGAGAGAGAGAGAGGCAGAGACACAGGCAGAGGGAGAAGCAGGCTCCATGCACCGGGAGCCCGACGTGGGATTCGATCCCGGGTCTCCAGGATCGCGCCCTGGGCCAGAGACAGGCGCCAAACCGCTGCGCCACCCAGGGATCGCTTCTCTGCGTTTTTGTCATTAATTCCTTTCTTCCCTCAACAAGTCATCATCAAGCACCTACGTGAGGCCACCACAAAGGGTCGTGCAGGCTGTGCACTGCGCAAGGGTGCCTGGCCCAGGCCACCTCATTGACCCATCAGGGCTGCACGTCCCCCAAGGGGGCCTTTTGCTAACTCACCCTTACGGCTAGGGAGTGGTGTCCCTGCCATGGCCGAGGCCCCAGTCCAGGTACCACTGAGGTCACTGAGCACCTACTGTGTGCCACGAACTGTTCTCAATGCTCTGGCCTCAGCTAATGTCAGGGAAGCTCTTGGCAGAGTCAGACACCAGCGAGCAGTGCTGTGATGCACCGCGCGTCAGCGTATTCGGGGGCCGCCTAGATACGCAGGCGCGCCACCACCCCAGCCTTGCGGCCGGGCCTCCGGAGGGCTGCTGGGCGAGACGCTGGCTGCGGATTAAGGGGTCTGTACCAGGCCCTCGCCCTGCCGTAGTCTGGCTCCTGCGTGTCAGCCACTCCCCGTACCTTGGACAGAAGCTGCCCGGCGGTACCTTCTGCAGGTGCAGGGCACGACTTCCCACGAACCTCGCCTTTCCTCCCAGAAACCACAGGGCACAGGTTGGGCTGGGAACACCTTTTATTCAGCTGCATGCAGCAGGGGCAGAATCAGAGCACTGCTTCCTTCCAGCAGCAGGGAGAGGCAGGGGTGCCCTCAGACAGGGAGGGGGGGCTCTGGGGGTGGCGGTTCCAGGGCTGGGGGCGGGCATCCCAAGCCGCAGGGGAGCTGGCCGAGGCGTGGGGCCGACGGGTGGTCCTTGAAGGCCAGCCACTCACCTCACCCAGGGCTTCCATGCCCCACTCCTAGAATCAGGGTCTAACCCTACCCCCCACACACCCTGGGTTACCATGCACAGGATTCCAGGGGTCTTTGGAGACCCAGTCCCCCCCCCACATGATGTCCACCTGACTTCTGGGACTTCCTGGACAGTGGGGTCAGTCCAGGCCTGGCCTGGCCCCCACCCCCATCGTGGCCCTGCCCGTGTCAGACGAGGCCTGAGCCTCATCCCGAGTCCCCTCCCCGAGCAGGCAGGCCGAGCAAGGAGCTTGGCAGTGACAGAATGGGATAGAAGAGAGGCCGGCACAGCCCCCGTCCGCTCCCAGGTCCGTCGAGCCACACGGTCACCTCTCAGCATCGGCGCCAGCCAGGGTGTCCTGACTGTCCCTGCTCTGAGGGCCCCCAGTGGAGACAGGGAGCGAGGGCCCCGGAGGGGAAGGCAGAGACACACATCTGGGTCATCTAGGTGGGCACCTGAGCCTGAGGAGCACTCTGGGAGGAGCCCGCGAGAATACCTCGCACCTCCCCAAACTCAGGGGCCCTGTTTCGTAGAGGGCCCCCCTGCCCTCATCCAGGTTGAGACCTTGGGCCAGGAGCACTGGCCCCCTGTGGCCTGTGAGGGCCACACAAACTGAGAGTCTCCATAAAATAGGCAACGGGGGGTCTAGGGTGAACTAGGAGGTCTGGGGGAGCCTGGTCCCCCTCCCCGTCCCTAACCCAGCCCTTCCCTGACAGCAGCCAGGGTGTGGGGGATCAGAGCTTGGGGGGCGTCAAGGCAGCGGGGGCCCGATGGTGATGCTGCTGTTGGTGACCCTCGGGCCGTACCAGCCGGCCCAGTAGTGAGTGTCCACGCCGCCGTGCTGAAACCAGATGTAGCGGACGCCGGGCGGGTAGTTGGAGAACGTGTGAGAGACCTGGGTGGGGACAGGGGGAGGGCGTGAGAGAGGTCAAGGGGCAAGGAAGGGGCCAAGGTCTCACTGCCGGACCAGGAATCGGCAGATCTGAGTTCTCATCCGAACCCTGTGGTTTTGAGCAGGCTACTTCCTCTCTCTGCCTCAGTTTCCTCATCTGTAAAATGGAGCAAAATCTTCCCAGGGGCACTCCACAGGATGGCCCAAGTGCAGCTCAAAGGCACTGAAGGGAACTCTGCAAGCTGCCAAAAGATGTCCGATTATGGTCATCACTGGGCATGCGTGGCTATTTAAGTTGCAATTCATTAAAATCAGATAAAATTAAAAATTTAGTTTCTCAGTCACAGCAAACACTGGCTTATATTCAAGTGTTCCGTGGTCGCACGGGGCCGTCGACTACCGTACTGCACAGATGCAGACACAGACCGTTTCTAGCACTGGCCAGATCCGCAAACTATGGCCTGGGGGCCCACTGCCTGTTTTTGTAAATAAAGTTTTATTGGAACACAGCCGGGTCCATAAAACTGCGTTCGCTGCACAACGGCAGCGTCGGAGAGCTGAGTCGCGGTGACAGAGACAGCTCGGCCGGCAAGGCCTACAATACTTGCTTCCGGCCCGTTAAGAAAACGTTTGCGCCCCCCCCCCCCCCCCGGTCTAGAGAGTAGTAAGAGCCCACGACGTTCGTGACTAGGAACGGTCAACCGTCTCGGACGTGGCTTTACCAGCGTCTTTTCAGAGCTCGGGCGGCAGAGGCCCGGGTGAGAAGCAGCAGAGCTGGGATGTGAACCCAGGCCTGTGTGACTGCAGTCTCGGCCATGGGCGATATGCCACCTGCCCTCTCCCTGGCCCACACACCTCCCTCCATTTGGCATCGCTCTTCTGCTGGATGGTTGCCGGGTCTGGCTGGAAGGTCCCCAGGGGTGCGTGTGCTGACGACAGGAGCTGAACGCACAGCTGGTACTTGGACCCGCAGTCCGGCCTGGCTGCGAACCTGCGGGCAGAGGTTGGAGGGCCCATCAGGGCCTGGGAGATGGGGGTAGGGTGGGGGTGGGGCGCCTGAGTGGCAGGCCCCCCTCCCCCAGACCCTCGCCCCAGGCACTCACCAGTCCTTGACCTCGATGTCCGGCCGTGTGGTGTCCATCAGCTCCTCCCAATACCCTTCGGCCTTGAGGTCCACCACCTGGGACTTGAGGCAGGTGCTAGGGGCGGGCAGAGGAGTGCGAGGGGCTGGGGCTCAGCATTAGGGCACTGGGGCGGGGGTGGGGGGTGGGGGAGAGGGCTAGGACTGCCCTTCCCAGAGAGGAGACCCTGGGGTGAAGTGACTTGGGTTTCCCCCCCACCCCAAGACTTCCCCAGCCTTGGATCTTACTAATAAGAAGTCACGAAGTATTTCTTGACCTGGTCATTGGGGAATTCCTTCCTCTGGTCTCCAGAGAGATCCTCCACCTTCCACTCATCACCTCCATTCACGTCCAGGCTCCAGAATTCAAAGCCCTCTGGGCAGAAAGCAGAATTCACATCACAGGGACGCCCCCCAGGGGTCTCTTTCTAGCCGGTGCCCCTTCCCCTGCCCCCCATCCTCTCCCTGGATCTCTGCAGCTGCCCTCAAGCCTCAAGCCTCAAGCTGTGGGACACTGCAGGTCAGCGGGGGCTGTCTCCTATCAGGTGCTTCCTGTGTGCCCAGCACCACGCTAGGTGGTTTCCACTGGGAATCCCAAGACACGTGCCACGGGAACGACCAGACCCCTCTGTCAGAGAACGCTCTGACGCCAGCCAGCCAGATCTGAGGCTGGTGGCTCTGCCAACACTGGGCCGCGTGACCTTAGATAAGTTGCTTTCCCTCTCTGAGCCTGGGTCGTGTCCTCTGTGACCTGGAGTTAAGAACAACAAGAGCTGGCAAGCTTTTTCTGTAAAGGGCCAACATATTTTAGGTTTTGTGGGCTACCTACTATCTCTTTTGCAGTCTTTTTTTTTTTTTTTAAAATAACCATTTAAAACTCCCAAAACTACTTTTAGTTCCTGGGCCAGATTTGGCTCATGGACCATCGTGTGCCAACTGCTGGTCAAGAACATGGCTCTTGGGGAGTCAAGTGAGGCGGGCATCTGAAAGCTCTGGACAGCTTGGAGTCATTTCATTACCACTGGCTCCAGGATTGGGCACACAATGGGGAATGAGGCTCCCAAACCGTCCCAGTGTCGAGCCGAGGAGTTACAACACGGTAAGGGAAAAAGGGGGGTCTGGACGATGTAGAGCATTTACCTGTTGTTGTAATATGCTGGAAAGAAGACTGGATCCCTCATTCTTCCATAAGTAAAATCCCCTTTCCACTCTGGGGGAGTCCTAGTGAGCTTAGCCCTGGAGTCTGGGAAGCAGGCCAACAAAATATGGCTCTGACTTCCTGGTCTTGTGTCTTGGGCACACGTAGTCCCAACTGGACAACAGTCCCTCTCCCACAAAAGGTCACTGGGGAAATAATCTTAAGGATGGATTACAAAAATGCCACTCTTGCCCTCAGTTTGCCCATCTGAAAAACGGGAACGCTAGCAGCACCTACCTCTTAGGATTACTGTGAGAGGATTAAAGGCGTTAAACCATCCCAAGTGCCTGGCTCATAGTGAATGCATAGTGAGAGTCAGCTGCTGTGGTGACAGCGTATGCGTGGGGGGCATACGCCAGACCCACTGCGCACCCCACCTTCAGCACACGGGTTGTGCAGCAGGTTCCTGTGGAGGCTGCGTAGGAAGTAGAAGATCTTCCAGTCGGCCACAGGCTGGTCCCAGTCCTCGGTGATGAAGCCCTCCCGCAGGCACTTGCGCTTCCAGAGGGTCACCAGGTCGATGAGGTCCCGCCAGAGGCTGCAGACCGGGCGGCAGCGCAGCAGCAGCTGGCGGGCCGGGATGTGCGTGAACAGCTCCAGCAGGATGCTCTCGGGCAGCTCGTTGATGTTCCCCACGGCCATGGCGCGTGGCTTCTGGACGCCCCCCTGTGGTTATTGAAAAGCTCCACTAGACACCGGCCGCCTCCCCAGAGCTGCGCGTGTGCAGCAGCCCAGGGTGGAGGGTGCAGGACGTCCCCATCCCGGCGCTGCCTTTACTACCTCGGGGAAATTCACAGCGCCTCTGCGAGCCTCAGTTTCCTCCTCTGTAAAATGGGACCAAGAGGGGTACTGAAACGGTTCAAATGATGTGACACAGCAGATGCTCGATAAAAGGTGATTGATTTGGGGGCATCTGCCTTGGGCTCAGATCATGATCCCAGACACTTGGGATGGAGCCTCAACCCGCGCTCCCTGCTCAGCGGGGAGTCTGCTTCTCCCTCTGCCTCTGCTCCTGCTCCCTGCCTCTCTCTCTCTTGCTCAAATAAATAAAACTTTTTTTTTTAAGGTGATTGATTTTACTGTCACCTCACAACAGCCCCTAAAGGATGCTAAGGAGGCCCAGAGGGGTGCGAATACCTGCCCAAGGTCACCCAGACGGGGGCAGAGGACGGAAAGAGTCTTCTGTGACTCTAGGGCGAGTCGCTTCCAATAGGCCAGGCTTTAGAGCGTCAGTGACAATGCGCAGTCCCCGGAACCGTCCTGCAAGTCCTCAAACGGAGGAGGGAGAGGGGCTGAGGCTGGAGGCAGGGGGGCCACCGCCACCGGCTCTGACGCAGGTCCTAAGAGCTCAGCGACCTTCTCAAGGCCGCAGAGTAAACGACCCGCACAGCCGGGAGCGGAGAGGGGTGCGCGATGGGGAAAGGCCCTTCCTGCGCTCCGACCTCCGTGCCCGGGACCCCCGCGCACCTGCGGCCTCGCACCTCGCGTTGTGGCTTTAAATGCCCTCCCGCCCCCCACCCCCACCCCCCAGCCGGGGCTCGGACCCCTGCGCATGCAGTAGCGACCCCAGCCCGGGCTCTCGGCCGCGCCGCGCTGCCCTCCGAGGCCTGGGCCTTGTCCGTGCCGCGCCTCCCTCCCGCAGCGCCCGGAAACCGCCCAGCCGCCCGCCCGCCGGGCCCCGGCCCGCCCGCGCCCCCCGCGCCCCCCGCGCCCACTCCCCACCGTCACCTGCGCTCGGCCGCCGCTGCGCGGTCCGGCTCGGCGGTGGGGCTGAGCGGGCCTCGGCCTGCGGAGCTGGAGCGTGCGCCCCGCCCCCGCCCGCCAGGCCCCGCCCTGACCCCGCCCCCGCCCGCCAGGCCCCGCCCCGGCCCCGCCCCGCCCGCCAGACCCCGCCCGCCCCGCCCTCAGGCCCCGCCCCGCCCCCGCCCCCGCCCGCCAGGCCCCGCCCCGGCCCCGCCCCCGCGCCGCGTCCCCCACCGGGACGTAGGAAAATTACCTGGGGGGGTGGGGGCGCGCGTGGAGGAGCCTCCGTCCCGTCCCTCCCTCCTCCCGGGCTGCGCGCCCCGCACCCTCCGCCTGACCCGGACTCGCTGCCCCTCGCCTCCCTCCCCCGGCACCCCTGGAGCGAGCTCCCAAATCGGACCCCCCCATCCCGTTAAAAGACCCGAGTCTCGACCTCTCCCGGCCTCCCGGGTCCGCCGAGGAGCCCGCAGGCTCGGCTGGGGCCGCCGCTCCCGACTGCGGGGCGGCCGGGCGCGGGGCCAGAGGCGGGGCGGGGCGGGGGCGCGGGCCTTTAAGAGGCGCCGCCGGCGGGGCCCGACCGAGACGCGGGCAGCGCCTGGACTCGCCGCGGCCGCGGGACTCGGGCGGCCCCGCAGCCCCGCAGCGCTCCGGCTCCTCCTCTCCAGACCGCCCTCCGCAGCGATGGACGGGGACGGCGAACCAGGTAGCCGGGAGGGGACGCCGGGGCAGGCGGGCGCCCGCTGCGGAGAGGGGCCTCGGGGAGCCGGGGGTCCCCGACACGGCGCCGCAAACCGTCCCCCGCGCAGAGCCCTCGCGCCGGCCATGGAGAGCACGATCCCCCGTGGGCCGGGCCTGCAGAGTGCCAGGCTCCTGGGTCCTGTTTGGGGGGGGGGCAGAGGAGTATCCGCGGTCTGGTGCCCGCCTCTCCGCTTCCTGGGGGGCTGCTGGGTCGCGGCTGGGGTGACCTGCGATGACCTGGGATGCAGGAGGCTCTAAGCCTCTTTCTTCTATCAACTTCTCTCATTTGCCAGCTGGGGCCCTTGAGTTGTCTGCATCCCCACGATTTCTTGGGGCTCCTGGCCTCTCCCCAGCCCACCCCGGTCGTCCTCCTGGGCTCCCCTGTCTGCTAGGGCTGCTCTCCAGCTGGGTGGCCGTCACGGAGAGTTGGGGCACGGCTGTCGCCTATGCTCAGGGCCCTCTGAGACTGCCCAGTCATCTCGTCTGGCACCCAAGACCCCCTCGCCCCAGCTCTTGAACTCCCTGCTGAGTCTGTAGGGTTACCTGCTGAGTCAGGGTGGGAACAAGACCTGCCTGCACAGTCCCTCACCCCTGCCCCAGCGGGCCCGGCCGAGACTGGGTGGCGAGAGTGGGCCCTGCTTGGAGGAGGCCTCAGGAAACCCTGAGGTACGCTCAGGTGGCCAAGCCTCTCCCCTCCAGCCCTGAAACTCCCTGCTCCCAATCTGTGACCCCCTTGCCACACCCTCTACAGGGCCCCAGCGTGGGCTCCTGCGTTTTCCCAGGGCTCAGCTATTCCCTGGACTCCAGGGCCCAACGCAGGTGAGTGAGTCAGCCTGGGAGGCAGCTTCCAGGGCCCAGATAACTTTCCAACAGCAACAATGTGGGGAGTTGTGTGTGCTGGAAAGGGGTGGGGGGGCCTGTAATCAGATCTGGGGCCTGGAGTGCCAGGCCTGAGGCCAGGAGAGGGGACTGGGCAAGGTGCACCTTTCGGGGGAGCATCAGGTGTCCACCAGGGCCAGGGCAGGGCAGGGCAGGGGGAGGGGTGGCGAGGTGAGGATACTGGGCCCAGCTCCCCAGAGAGCTGCGGGCAGCAGGACAAGCAGGTGATGTGGCTTCGGGGCCTGGCGTTTCCCTCTGTGCACACCCATTGTGCTCCGGTGTGACTTGGGGGAAGCTAGTAGGCCTCTCTGGGCCTCAGTTTCTTCTTTGCAAAAGGGAAAGGAAGGGAAAAAGCTAATAATGAAGGAAAGTGCGATGCTCGATTAGATTCACTGAAAGTTTATGAGGACGGACTGTGCACTCTGGGCTCCGAAGAAGAGGTAAACCCTGCTTCAGCTTGAGGGTCTCACCCTGGGAAGGGGGAGAAAATGCTGCGTGTGGGGAGGGAGGTGAAGCACTGCGGGCCCGGGGTCCTGGCAGCACCCAGACTTGGGTCTAGGCCTGGCCCGTTCCATCCCTTACTGCTCAGCCTGTTTTTACCGCCGCCTGGGCTTTCCAGGCTGCGGCCAGGACCCCTGCCCCCATCCTAGGTCTGAGAGCCCTGGCCTCCCCCCTCACCCGGAGTGGCCCCATCTCCCCGCCACCGCGTCCTCCTCCTCCAGAGACACTGTGCACTCAGGATCCGCTTACTCAAGCTTCTGAGGGCCCGGCTGAGGCCGGCCAGGTTTCAGGACACAGTCCAGCCCACGGCTCCTGACATCCGTCCACCTCCTTGCAATTTAGCGTGCCCTGGCCCCTCCTCGGGGATCGGAGCCTCAGCGCTGTGGGAATGGCCTGGCACCATGATCACTCCCCTTTCATCGACGGCGAGGAAGCCGGGGAACAGAGGGCTGCGGATGGGAAAAGAAGGGAGTGAGAGGATCTTCCTTCCTGCAAGACTCACTTCGTCTCCCCCTTCCGTCTCCCAGCTCTTTCTACGAGCCCCCTCGTCACACGGCTGTGCTCCCTTCCTTTCAGGCCTCAGATCCCCACGGCCCTGCCCTCGTACTAGCAGTGTAACCTCGTCAAAATCAAAATCATAGCGGAGCCTCCAAAGTCAGCACATTATTTTATTGAGGGCCTGGTGGTTAATGGCGGCCCTGGAGCTGGACTGCCTGGGTTCGAGTCCAGGCCCCGACCACGCATTCGCTGTGTGATCCTGGGTTGGTATCACCTCCCTGTGCCTCGGCTGCCCCACCAACAGCCGCGACTGGAACCACCTCGGGGAGATGCCATAAGGATTTGGAGTAAAGAAGCCGCTTAGAACAATGCCCAGCTCTTGCTTAATGCCCAGTAAACATTAGCTGCTGACAGCGTGCCAGGGAGGGTTCCAGATGCCAGGCACCGGGATGCAGCAGTGAGTGTCCCGGACCCAGTTCCGGTGCTCTTGCCCTCAGTCTAGTCCCCTGAGAGGTGTCTACAAGCCAACACGCGCCCTAGGACAAGAGCTAGGAAGGACGGGAGCTCCACAGTGAGAAGCTGTGGTGGTAGGAAGCCCGGGAGCACTCCCCAGAGGAGGCAGGGGAGCGGGGGTGTGTGATACACGGATGGACGGACGTGCTCATAGTCACACTGTCGGTTGCCACTGTCTGCTCGGGTGTTGCGGGCTCAGGGACCACCGAGGCCTCTGGGGCCACTGCGGGCCTGGCCTCCCCGGGCCTCTCCCACTGGGCCCCAGTCCCCCCTGGGTACCAGTCTCTGCACGCAGGAGCTGCGGGCCCGGCTGCGATTGCCGAGGGTGCGTGGGGGGCAGATACCCGACACAAGGGGGTTCTCAGGCTTGGGGGGGACAGTCTGAGCCGAGCCACCCCCACCCCCGCCTGCAGAGAGCGTGGGCCAGCCGGAGGAGGAGGTGAGCCCCGAGGGGCAGCCGGAGGAGGCGGAGGCAGCGAGCGGCGGGGAGGAGCGGCCCGAGGCGGAGGCGGAGGCGGAGGTGGAGGCGGAGGCGGAGGCGGAGGCGGAGGCGGGGGCGGCCGCGCACCTGGACGAGCTGCCCGAGCCGCTGCTGCTGCGCGTCCTGGCGGAGCTGCCGGCCGCCCAGCTGGTGCAGGCCTGCCGCCTGGTGTGCCTGCGCTGGAAGGAGCTGGTGGACGGCGGCCCTCTCTGGCTGCTCAAGTGCCAGCAGGAGGGGCTGGTGCCCGAGGGCGGCGCGGAGGGCGAGCGCGACCACTGGCAGCAGTTCTACTTCCTGAGCAAGCGGCGGCGCAACCTGCTGCGCAATCCGTGCGGGGAAGGTGAGGGGCCGCCCGCTCCCGGGACCCTTGTGCACCGCGGCCCAGCAAGCCTGCCCCCCCCCACGGCTAAACCAGGGGAGAGCGCGGCCCCACGCCCCGCGGAGCGCCCCCAGCAAACGCGTCCCCGCTGTTGCCCTCTGGCCGCCTGCGCCCTGGGGGCCCCCTTCCCGGGTCCTTCCACCCTGGGCGAGCTGGGGCGACAAAGGCCCTGTGGCCGACGCCCCCAGGAGGGAGAGAGACTCTGGGGGAAGGACAGGAGTGCCCCCAGCCTGGGCGCACCTGCGCGCACCGTGACCTGCGCGCCCCCACCGTGCCAGTACCGCCTCCCCCTGCCCCCCAGGTGTAGGAGCAAGAGCAGCCCCTCCGCAGCCCCCGCAGGGCGTGGGTGACCAGGGTGGGGCTGTCGTGTTCCCACAGAGGACCTGGAGGGCTGGTGCGACGTGGAGCACGGCGGGGACGGCTGGAGGGTGGAGGAGCTGCCCGGAGACTGCGGGGTGGAGTTCATCCACGATGAGAGCGTCAAGAAGTACTTCGCCTCCTCCTTTGAGTAAGCAGAGGGGGATGGAGGGCCGAGGGGGGAGAAGGGCCTGCTCTCCCTCCTAACTCCAGTTCCCCAGGTGGTGTCGCAAAGCGCAGGTCATCGACCTGCAGGCCGAGGGCTACTGGGAGGAGCTGCTGGACACCACTCAGCCCGCGATCGTGGCGAAGGACTGGTGAGCGGCCGGGGATGGGGATGGGCCAGGGCCGTGGGGAAAGGGGGGGCGGGGGGAGGGGGCAACACGGAGCTGTTCCCTGGAGCGGCTGTGGTCCCGGGACGCCCGGGTTTGCAGGAGAAGGTGGAAATGCCCCTCCCCTCCGGACTCTTAGGTGCTGGCAATTAAAAAAAGCAGAACGTGTCACCGCCAGCGCCTTTTAGCCTCCAAAGTTGGGTCTGGCCCACCCGGGGAGTCGTCCTTGGGTTTGGGCCTGGGCGAGTCCTTGCTCTCTCTGGCCTCAGTTTCCTTATCTGTCAGCCGGGGGCGTGGGTGGAACCGGCCCGGCCGGCGGGGTGGGGCAGAGAGGAGAACCGGGGCAGGCCGGGCCGCAGTGGCGGCCACTCGCTCCCTCCCTGGGGCAGGTACTCGGGCCGCAGCGACGCGGGCTGCCTGTACGAGCTCACCGTGAGGCTGCTGTCGGAGCACGAGGACGTGCTGGCCGAGTTCAGCAGCGGCCAGGTGGCTGTGCCCCCCGACGGCGACGACGGGGGCTGGGTGCAGGTGCGCCCGCGGCTGGGGGCGGGGCCTGGGGCGAGGGGCGGGGCTATCTGCTCGGGGGCGGGACCAAGGGCGGGGCTCCCCGAAGCCCCGCCCACGGCACCCACCCAGGCTGAGACGGGGCGGGCTAGTGCACCGGGGTGGGTGGCCCGGGGAGGCCCCGGGGCCCTAAGCTGACCCTCCTGCCTCCGCCTCAGATCTCCCACACCTTCACCGACTACGGGCCCGGCGTCCGCTTCGTCCGCTTCGAGCACGGGGGCCAGGACTCGGTCTACTGGAAGGGCTGGTTCGGGGCTCGGGTGACCAACAGCAGCGTGTGGGTGGAGCCCTGAGCCACCCTGTCTCCGACCTCGGCCGCCCCGGAGGGCCAGAGGCTGGGGTTACTTAGGCCTTAGCTGGTAGCATCCTCATCTGCCCCACCTGCACCCCCACCTGCACCCCCACCTACTTCTCTCCCGCCCTATAGTCCAGCCCCACACCCGGAAGGAGCGGTTGTGTTGGCATCTATCTGCATCTGGAAAATAAGATGGGGGAGGGTATGGGCCTGGGCTGGGCCCACCGCTGGATCCCCTGCACCTAGCACAGTGCCTGCCACAAAGTGGGCGCCTAATAAATACTATTTGTCCAAGGAAGGAACGAATGAACAAACGGATGAGCGAACCCCGCTCCCTTTGCATCCTTCTCTGTCTCCCGAGGGCCCCGGGCCCAGCCTGGAAAAATACTTGGTGGGGCTCCAACTGCTCTGGTTTCCAGGGGCCCTTGGGCCGGTGCAGAGCCAGCCAGGCCCGGGCGGGCCGGACAAAGGCTGGGATTGTGAGGGCGAGGAGTGGGGAGCTGGGCCTGGCGCCTGACTGACACCCAAGCTGCCCAGAGGCCAGAACAGGGTGTGTGTGTGGGGGTTGCCCTCCAGACCTCTCTTGATCCCCTCCAGTTCCTTTCTGAGGGCAGGATGGGGGGGGCAGCACCTCACCGGGAATACAAATTCCCCCGGGCCCAGGGATGGATGCCAGCCGCCGGGGTGGGGATGGGGAGATGGGCAGGGCGGCTGGGGGAGCAACCTGGTGCCCTCTCAGTTCACGCGCACCTCATGCTGTCCTTGCGGGCCCGGTGTTGGACTGAACGGGAGTCATCAGCATCAGGTCTCTGATGGTTTCCAAGCCCTGCCCAGAGGCTGGCCCCTAGCACCGCTTGAGGAGAAGGGGCAAGGGTGGGGTGCCAGGGAGTTTTTTTGCCCCCCCCCCCGGGCAGCTCTTAAACCCAGTCCTTCCCCAGGACCCTCAGCTGCTGGTCCCCGGGCGGTGGGAGTGAGGGGCGCCTCCACACACTGTTGCTCTCCTCTCAGAAATGGTGAGGAATGACATTGCCGAGGCCCCCTCCAGCTCTCCTTTGGTTTGACCCTGCTGTCACCTGCTGGCCAGGGGGGATTGCAGGTGAAGCTGGGACACCTGCGCGTGTTCCCGGGTTCCCTCATTCACTCCCGAGTCCGGAAGCCCCAGCCCTGGGGCCAGGCTCTGTGCAGGGCCTTGAGGTTCCAAGGGTGAGGAAGACCCTTCTTGTCCCAGAAGAACGAGGCACCTGGGAAGAGATATCCAGTGTCCCGGGGTGGGGGACTCTGGTTCCGGAAGGCATCCTCAGCCTGACAACCCTGATCTCAGAGAACTCCCAGTCTGAGGGTGGAGGCACAGCCCCTGCCCCATGGGCACCCCTCATCCCTCCTAGGGGACCTCACAGTCCGATGAGGGAAGGTGCCGTTCACACCTACCCGAGTTGCCAATCAGGGGAATTGATGCCTTGATGAGTTTGATGAGCGCCGTGAAGGGAGAGGTCACCTCTATGAGCTTCAGGTTCACACGAAAGAGTAATAGGCAAGGTAGTGCTCTGGGCAACGGACTGGGGGGGCGGGTGGGGAGGCCCCTGGTGGGGAGAGAACTGGGACCCGCCTGGAGGCTACGGGGGGAGGCTGGCTGGAGACTCAGCATGAAAGGCAGGGCTTGCGTCCAGGTGCCTGTGGGGACCAGGTGTCAGGGCTGTGATGTGGGGGCATGGAAGGTGCTGCGCGTGGAGGAGCTCCCCCCCCCCGCGTGGGGCATTCAGAAGAGGGGGCACAGGGATGCCCGGAGGGCTCAGCGGTGGAGCGTCTGCCTTCGGCCCAGGGCGTGACCCCGGGGTCCTGGGATCGAGTCTCGCATCGGGCTCCCTGCGTGGAACCTGCTTCTCCCTCTGCCTGTGTCTCTGCCTCTCTCTCTGGGTCTCTCATGAATAAATAAATAAAATCTTTAAAAAGAAGACGAAGAAGGAGAAGAGGGGCCCACGAGGGGGCTGGGGGTCTAGACTGGAGATACAGGATGTGCAGTGCATGTGGCCCAGGCCGCCGGTGAGGGCTGGGGACCAGTGTGGAGGGAGGTGAGTGGGGGCACAGAGAAGCCTCAGGCTCTGGGGCCACCACGGGGCAGACACAGCAGCCAGGGAGGCGGGGGTGGGGAGGGAGGGAGGACGCCAGCCCAGCGAGGCCACTGAAGCCAGTCGTCTGCTCTCAGAGGAGGGAGCAGGAAACCCAGAGACCAGATCCTCTGCCCGAGGGCCGCAGGGCACGGGACCCCCAGAGGAGACCTGAGGGGCTCCAGAACCACTGTCCCCGGGTACCTGGCACTAGAGGGCTGGTTGGACACACGGCTGGTATGTAGCTTGGGAGGACAAGACAGCCACCTACGCCGTCCATGGGCTGATGCTGCAGGGTTGGGGCCAGAAGAGCTCACTGTGCACAGGGCACCGCCCTGGCCCAGAAGGAGGCGGGGGGCACAGCACCGCTACCCCTACTGCACACGTGAGGGCACTGGGGAGCCGAGACTGGGCAGCTGACACTCCGGCCAACTGACTCCTGTCCGCCCCCCACCAGCTGCTTAGAGGACTGCAGGGGGCAGCTTCCTGAAAGCACCGCTGTCCATCAGGAGGCGGACGCTGCGCAGGGTGGGTAGCAGACCGTGAGCCCCAAGGACGAGGGCCCCTGCGCATCAGCTACGGAGGGGTGCACGCTCCCGAGGTGCCGGGTGTATCGCTGGGGACGGTAGAAGCAGACGAGGGCTGTGCCCCCGGAATACACGGGCTGGACGGAGACACTTAAATCCAGGCAGCTAAACACAGTGAGCACTGGGTGTCGTACTATACGTCGGCAAATTGAATTTAAATACAATCTAAAAAATAAAAATAAATTTAAAGACGGTAAAAAAAATGCATAAGATGATTATCATCAACACGGTGCAGCACTTACTGTACATACCAGGCAATACTCTGGGGGCTTTGCACATATTGATTCATTAAAATAACCTTATGGGGGGGCGCACTGCTATCGCTTCCATTTTTACAGGTGGCAAAGCTGAAGCACAGAGAGGCTAAGCAAGTCGCCCGAGGCCACACAGCCTGTCGGGGTGGAACTGGAACTCCGCTCGGCCGCTCAGGCGCTTCACCTCCACAGCGAAGTAAACAGACGTGAGGGTGAGGGTGAGGGCGAGGCTGGTGGCTTGGGTCAGAGTGACCAGGGACGACACGTGGGCAGGGTCCTTGGAGGCGCAGTACGTGCAAGGGCCCCGAGGTGGGAGTAAATCCACTGAGAGCGAGAGCAGGACGTGGTGGGCGATACAGGCGGGCCACCCCGGGGGCTTCCTGCGCGCCCACTGTGTGCTCGGTCTCCCGGGGCATAAGCGCGTCAAGGAAGAACCTTTGCTCTACGCCCAGCAGGACCCGAGAAGGGCCCGTTAGACCCGCAGCTCACCGTCGGGGAGACCGACTTTGCCACGAGTACCGATGAGCGTGACGCTGGCAAGAGCGGTGACGGGGGTGAGCATCCGTGGGGGCCCGGTGGGCACAGCGGCTCCTTCCGTCCACTCGGGGCCTCTCCGCGCAGACATCCCGTCTTACGGGGGAAGGAGCCCGGGCTCCCGGGGGCGGGGGGCAGGGGGGTCACTCGCCCAGGGACACACACACGCGGACACAGTTTCAAATCCAGGTGAGCTGCGTCTCCAGCTCAAGTCCTGCAGCCCCTGGACGGCGGTGCAGGGTCAGAGCTGGGCACGGGCCGGGCAGGGGGCAGAGGGAGGACCCCCCCCACGGGGCTCTGAGGCAGCAAGCGGGGGACACGGGGCTCCTGGCCTTCCAGGCTACCGCTGATTGACGGACGGGGCAGGACTGGGAGGCTGCGTGTTTCTGGGCCGCGTGGGGAAGGGCCTGGGGGGTAACGGGAAGTCCCTTTGAGCTTTCTGGTAGGTCCGTCCATTTAGCAACTTTGCAATACGGGGGTGGGCGGGGGGGGGGCGGTATTTCTGTCTCCGATTTATTTTCTTTGTCCGCCCGGCTGTAGGAGGAGGGAAGGCCCAGGTCCCCGCGTCACCACTAGGTGTCGGCCTCGTCGCGGGAGTCCCCGGACTGGGCTCCTGCCCCCTTCTCTGCAGAGGACGGCGCCTGCAGGGCCGAGGCTGAGGCCAGGTCTGAGGGTTGGGCCTCCGTCCGCTCTGGGTCGGCTCCGAGGCCACAGCTCCCGGGAGACGCTGGGGACGCGGGGTGCTGTGAGGCTGGCGTCCTCGAAGACTAGGAAGGGCTGTGGTCTCTGGGAATCCAGCCCCACGTAGGTGTGGGGGCCTAGAACCCCCCCCACCCCCGCCGGTTCATCTCCCACTTGGCCGAGCCCCGGGCCCTCTCCTGGCCCCTCGCCAGCCGCAAGCACAGGGCACCCGGGCACGTCCCCCCCACCGATCTCCCCGTGAGGGATGACTTTGCTACTCTTTCCCCCGTAAATTAAACCTAATCTTGTGTTGACTCCGCTGAACAAGGAGAATAATGAAGAAGATTAAGATGAGACGGTGTTCATTCTCCTCCGAGGAAAGCCAATGAATTGTCACGGGGTCGCCCTGAGCCAGGAGCCACCAGGACCCCACAGGGCGGGCAGGGCGGGGGGTGCCCCCCGGGGCTCCAGCTGGGGTCGCAGCCGGAGAGATTCCCGCTGCACGTGAGGAGGAGCTGCCTGGGCGAGAGAAGGGGCTGACGCCGAGGAGGAGGAGGAGGACGTGAAGCGTACGGATGGCCAGGTGAGGTCTGTGCGACCAGGAGGGAGGTCCCTGGGAGCATCGGGGCGCTGTACACACAAGGGGCTGGCTCCCCGAAGCCCCAACCCCTCACCCAGCTCCACCCCAGGCCACCGGACGCCCTTCCCTGCCTTTCCTGCCTCAGAGACTCGCTTCGTGACCTGTGTCAGCCTCGGGGGCTCCATCGGGGGTCGCCTTGGAGAAAGGACTGCGTGCAGGGGTGTCCAGCCTCCTCCTCTCCTGTCCCAGGAATGGGGGCAAGAGCCTGGATCTGGAGACGGAAGCACCTGGGTTTCACCTGGCTTTGCCCCTCGTCCTCGGCCACAAAACCCCACCTGCCTCCCTGCTCTGAGGCTCCGGGGAGCTGAAGCTTCCAGGCCCGGTTCCTGGCACCTGCTGGGCCCGTCGTATGGGGGCCCGACTAGCCTGGCCCATCTCCTGCCCCGTGCACAGGATCCCACGGACTCCCCGTAGCCGCCCCTGGGGGAGGCTTCCGTGATCTCCCCAGCTTATGGCAGGGAAGCGTGAGGTGCCGAGGGGTGGGTGCTGCGGTCCAG